CTCCTTGCCTTGAATGTGACAGTAAAGCAGTCATTATGTCCTTGGAATGGTTTTCACTGGACACCTGAAGAGGGTGTTTTTTTAATATGAAAAGGAACTCCCACATAGAACCCATCTTTTGGCTCTTTGCTCTGCGTAAAAGCAGTCCATTGTCTGTCTGAGCTTCACCACCCAAAGGGTGAAAATCTTAAACTTCCTGTGGAGGTGATTTCCGTGCATTTCCATGAGATGCTTTCCTGAGGAATGCTTGACTGGGCCTGTATTTCTTGGCTTCAAATTAAAACCTGTGTTTCCTTTGTCCCAGGAATTTTGAAAGTATGGCTTTCATTTAGAGTTGTTAATTCAGATAAGCACCCCTAAAGCATTTACTGGCTTTAAACAGACTGATGGAGAAATCGCATGTGCCTGAGAGTGCCTACCAGTCAGCAGTCCAATGACCAGGGAACAGAGCTGGGAGCAAAGACGTGTCCTCCATCCTCCAGCTCCGTCACTAACATCACAGATATCACCATGGCGACCAGGAGAGCATGTCACATCTCTGTATCAGCATTCTTCCTAGGCATAAATTAATCAACATGTATGAAATCTTTGAGAAAGAACGAATAACCACTTTTTTCCCCCCAGTGTATATCGAAGTGTCTTTCATTGCTTTGTGTCCTTTGGCATGGGGTTTAAATTAGCTGAGAATAATCAAATCTTGAGCATTCAGAGCTGGAAAGAACCTAGCCAAATTTCCTCAGAGTAAAGGAGGAAATAGATGTAAAACCTCTCACACTGGAGCTGGCACGTTGTAAATTAGCAGTAAATGTTAGTTGCTGCCTGTTCTCTCCAGGTGAGGAGGAAACTGAGAGGTTCAGTGGGTTGCCCAGGGCTATCTGGTTGGAAGGTGCCAGAACCAGGATTAGAATTCCTGTCGTCTTATTCAGAGTCCCGTTCTTTTCCCACTGCGCTCTGCAGGGCTGGAAAGTATTAATGGTTGTGGCCACACTATCCTCCCTGTTAATACCGCCATCTTTACAACCCAGGCTTAGAACTTCTTACGGTTCTTCCTTAAGTTAGGGACCATTGGACCCATCGTGGGCAACCAGTGTCATTTTTCTTCTGGCACTCATCCCAGCTTTCTGACTGGTACTCTCGTGCCCTGCCAGCAATAAGGCAGCTTCCAGACGTGATTCACTCGTTCAAAACGTATTGAGCCTCTTCTTTGTTCCAGGTCTTGAGAAAAAGTGATAAACGTAGCCCTTGCCTTTCCAAAGCTTAGGCACCCCGGTGCTTGCTTCCCTGAACTACCAGCTCTAAATAAAAGCTATATGTTCAAAATTAACTCCTGGGACCAAGGAATTTATATAATTTGTATAATTTTTAAGAAGTCATTGGGGGAAATCCAGTGCTATGAGGAGCTGTGCTATTAAGAAAGTAGAAAGTTCCAGTATTTCGGGTCTCTTAGTTCTATGTCTCTTTTCACAAAGGCCATCTTTGGAACCCAGGAAGACAGGTAAAACAAAGTATTAAAAAGATATATGTTTTAATCTAATCAATACCTATTGAATATCTATTTCCTACCACATATCCTGCCGACCCCAAAGTTACACGGATGAATGGGATTCCGTCTTTGCTTACATTTCTCACAGGCGAGTCGAGGAGACAGACAGGAGGATGGGGGTCGCTGTGCAGTAAGAGCAGCACTCGGGTGGGGCAGGCCTCGGAAAGCAGCAGTGGTGCAGACAGTGACGACCTCCCAGGAGGGAAGGGGAGGATGGTGACGTCGGACTAGAGTCCTAGAACATAAGAAGGAGTTTGCCACCTAAAGAGGAGAAGAGTGATCAGCTGAGCAGAGTGTATGCAAACGGCCCGGCAACGCGAGCACGTGCCGTGTGTGAGGAACAGCGAGGAGTATGTAGAACCAAGACAACAGAGGAAGGGAAAGCAGATAAATCATTCATATGCTTTTTGGAGCCTCAGATCAATTTCACATCAATGGCTCATTCTGTTGACAGTTCCTCAACAGTTACGGCATTCCTACTCTTCACGACACACGGTGGTGGGTCCCGCAGAGGGTATACAGAAAGGGGTCAGAACTGGATCCCACCACCAATGGGTCACAGATTAGGGGTGGGGATGGAACGTGCCATGTGAATTGTAACGTGAGAAAATAACCCTGAAGGTACAAATGAAGCACCAGGGGGCATTTGGGGAGGCAT